AGGGAAATTACTGTAATTCTCCTACCAAGTTCTGTAACCACTTTAAAGCCTGTACACAAACACTTCTTTCTAAATACAGTTCAGTTTTATTTGGGTAAGTTTCTAAAAGGTCTTAAAACAACAGTAGTGACTCAACAGCATTTCACATCCTGTATGTGGCACTATCAGTGAAAATGGCATTTAAAAAAAACCTTCATGCTTCACTCGTAGAAATGCTACATTATTAAAACAATGGATTGGAATCCTGAAACTGATGCTTCAGTTTTGCAAAAGAATGACTATTCTGCGTTTTTTCTGACTCTGATTTACTTGCCTTCTGTGTGATAATTGCCGGTGTCTCTGATCTACAGTCATGTATAGCCTTGTAATGCTGTTTGTGTCTGCTTTAGTGTATTGCATTATAGTATTTTCTGTACTCTCTCCCATGTCATCATATCAGCTGAAGCAGAAGGTGGCTATTTTGTACTGGAATTTCTTGGTGTGTGCACTGCATTTTGCTTCCAAACAATAAAAAAACCCAACCTTTCCACTAATGTAGTACCAGAGCACAAACAGGGTAAAAATGTTCCAAAAGAGCTGGTGATGTATTAAAAATGCATGTTTACAGGAGAGGGTGGTCCTCCCAGAACCCTCCTCCCCAGCCTGTTTTAAAGCTGCATGATGTACTCACATTACACAGAAGGAGAGTGACTGGCCTGTTCCTGTGCACAGATGGCTGACTGGCTGGCTATCCTAAATAGATATTCTTCCCCTGTTCCACTTTTTGCTATGCTTAAGGCTGAGAGAAACACCAGTTTTGTTTTTTCTCCAGTGTCAACCAAGCTATAGGTAAAGCCACTGAAGAATAAATAAGGCTTGTCTTCCAGTCTCATTATGGCTGATTTAAATTAAAACTAGCTGGTATATGTCAGTTCACTAAACAGTATACCAAATGGTACAGTATATAGTACACTTGAACTAAAATCCTGTTTAAGTATCTAGGCAGACAAGGTTCCTTGGGTGAATTTGATTAAGTATCTGTTTTATATAGCAGTGGTATATAGTGAGTGGATTTCAACTCATTTCATGTTCTTGATTTGTTACAGAGGGAAGCTGCAAACATGTTCAAGTAAAACCCAAATTGTTTATTTTGCAAGCTCTCCATTTCTTCCTTTCTCTGCAATAAGCCTCAGATTGCATTCTGCTTCTGCATGGTAACCTAGGTAGGTTGATAAGCTTCTAAATAGTTAATCAGACCTTAATTGAGGATCAGGATGAAGTGTTTAACACTGATAAGCTAGAGTGAAGTGGTGTGTTTTGAAGTGTATGGGAGACACCTGGTATGTGCGATAAAATGTTAGCCACTGGGCTGATGATGATTTTCACTTATATGGCCCTAATTGAAGCTGGTCCTATTGCTTCCAGCTGTGTTTAGCAGTAAGCATTGCAACGTTTTCTGGAAAGCAAGATACCATGGAACAAGAAGTGTGAAGGCTAGAACTCAGCCCTGGAACAGTTCAGAGAATTTGCAGATTGGTAAGCATGAAAGTGTGCTAATTTGACCACTTTTATTTAGGACTTAAGGTAAAATTACCCGACTAAGTTAGCTATTGCATGTGGTGTTGGAGTTTGAAATTTGAACATTGCTGTGGTACTATTAACCAGCTCTTGTAAATTGGTCCTCCTTTAATTTTGCCCATAGCTGAGCCCTAGTCCTTTTAGTAAGTAGCTGATAGAAAGAATCCCATTAAAGCTTAGAGAAGTTAAATTTTACTGTGTTGCTCCTTGGCACCTATATGCTGAAGTCTGTTGCATGAAATTTCTAAACCTGTTTATGACCAGAATGGGGATCAGACTGTTCCTTCCACCAGAGTTTCTGCTGTAAGAAACTAGCTTTAAAACTTTCTTTTACATACAGCTGTATGTAACTTATTCCTGGATACCTGCCCGTATCCTAAGACAAGTAGCTGACCATGTTAGTCTGACCTCAGATGGAAGGGTGGCATTCAGAGAGGCTGCTTCACCAGATCCTAAAAGGGACACCACTCTTCAATTGTATGTTCTCTGTTTTGTGACGGCTTGCTTTTATTATCCAAGATAAAAGTTCAGACTGTGACCACAGAGATCAATGTCTCTATAAATTCATGTTATGTTAGCGCTCTGTTAGATTATCTTTTCATGATCTTGTCAATAAACATCCAGTGGAAGGGATTGAGAACTTTAAGATACAAAACCTGGAGAATGCACTTGATTTTTTTTTTAATTTATTTTAGCCTATTGCTTCCAGGAGTCTAAGGGGATATTTTTGGTCCTTTAATGAGCCTTCATTAATGCTTTAATTTTAGAATGTGATCTCTGCTTTTGTAACCTTGTGCTCCTGAATCCTGTGACTTGTTTCTAGTTTAGGAAATATAACTAATGCAGTTAGCCCATAATAATCAGTTGACCTCATTCTGTGCCTTAATCCACTGCTGTGCATACTACCAGAGGTAATGAATGTAAAAATTATGGCTTTCACTGCATCAGGAGTCATGTAAGTTCTGCAAAGGAGGCAGCTCAGAGGTGAGGCTGGAAGCCAGTGACGCAAGGGCACCCAGTCTGCCACCTGTGCTGCTATCTGCTCTTTTGGACATGGGCTGTATTTGGTGGTGTCTGGGGCTGGATAAAGATGTAATGTTTGTATTTGCTCTGAGGTGCCACTTCACCGCGGATGATATCTGTGATCAGGAAGGGCAAGAGTTTCTCCAAACTTTGCACTCCTTCCCGAACTCCGGCAAAGCACAGCTGTGAAGCTTGCTAGCCCCTCAGGGGCAGTGTGCATTGAGGATGAGGTTGAGGCTCGGAGCCATGCAGTCCTGGAGCTGCAAAGTAACTAACTTTCCTTTCCAAAGGCCATGCATTAAGGATTATGTGAGCCACCCCTGCCTGTGAAATGGGAAGGGGAGGGTGTGTGGTTCCTTGTCTCAAAGTTGGGAGCATCTTTAAGCAGCTGTCTTGCAAACCACAAGGTGCTCCGTAAGTGCTAGGTACCCTGTTAAAGTGTATTTTTAACCCTGTTAAAGGTTGTTTTTTTTTTTATGCTTCCTTTCCTGTCATTGCAGATCAGAGAGAGCTCTGGGTAATTAGTGGCTTTCTCTCTTAATATTTGGCCTTCTCCTTGGTCCTGTTTCATGTAATGAGGTTGCACCTTCCCTCCTTGGGGCTTGTGAGGTGACATTGAAGTCAAATCATCCAGCCCTGTAGCAATGAGCATTTGTTTCTTGGAAAGCCTGTCTGCTTCACAGAGTTGTGGTTTCTGGGGAACTGCTGGATGGCATCTGTGAGAGTGTCCCAGCATTGCAGTTGCCTTACCCACACACACATTGCACCACTTGAACTCATCTGCTGTGGCTAAATTGGTGCAGACTTCAGTGTGAACAGTTAGCTGGGTTAAACCTAGCTTGTGTTGAAACCTGAAGTAGGCTTACCAGCACAGGTTGAGCAGCTGTGAGTCAGGTATAACAGCGTATGTTTGTTAACGCACCTTTAGTTACATTGGTGCCATTTTGTGCCTAAACCTGATTCAAGCTAAAGTGGTCCAACCACTGCTACTACTGGGGAAGCGGGAGTTGGGATGTGTACAGAAGGGAAAGGGCTTTGTGGCAAGTGTGTGGGAAGTGGATGAGCGTTTCTTGTGTCTGCTCATGGACTGCATGCGAGGGAGTCATTTGGGTTGCCAGCAGAGATCTCTGGCTTGCTGAAGCATTTGGAATGGGTTGAACTGTATTTGACTGAGGCCCCTCTGCCCCTTATCAGCAAACCTGCTAACAATAGGACACAGATCAGGTAAGCAGTCCATGCACTTGGACTTGATGTACTGAGCCTCACTTGTGCCACTTAGCTTCGCGTTAATGGCTGCGTTGTGTTCCACCTGGAATGAGCATTGGAATTTTTTGCTGGGATTAGTCACTGACAGTTGTTTACATTGTAAAATCCTCCATTAACACTGCGCCCTGGTTTGGAGCAACCTGGTGAGAGAGGTCAAAGGCTGAACGGGCTGGGAAGCCAAAATCCTTTCTCCTCCTTTCACCCTGTCAGACCCAGTTTGAGAGAACCCAGCCGGTTCTGAACTTGCTCTGCTACTGCTCCAGCTGTACATGGTAGATGGAGTTAAAAATGGCTTTGTGCTCCACAAGTGTCTGCTCTTTCACGGGCCATAGAACTTGTAGTGCAGACAAAGGAATCCTGGTGCTGTCTGCCAAATCTTCTGCTGCAGCTCTTCTGCTTGGAGAAGGCTTGGTCTGTTTGTGGCATGAAAGGAAGCGATGACCTCCTGTTCTGAGACTCCTACTTGAACTCTCCTGCACAGCTTGTCAGCTGTGTTCTGGGCCCCTTTAGAATGTGTCTACCAAAACGAGGGGGAGGAGGGATGGAAACGGCCTGTCCTGAGACGCGGACTTGATCTAAATGTTAAACTATTTATGCAGAACAAAAAGTCCAGTTACATAAAAGCTGGTGCGACTGGGTGGCGGCAGCAGTGCGCTGCTCTGCCTAGTGAGCTGGGGTTCAGAAACTTGGACTGCCTCCTGGCTGTAAACCCAAGACTGGGAAGAGCTTAATGGTTGGCAAAAATTAGATACTTGCTTTGACAGATTGGGCTGCTACTGGCAGAACAAAGGCTCTGTTCCTGTGTGGCTGGAGGTGCAGCGCATTGCCCTGCACAGAGCCATGCTGCCCATCAAGGTGCCGCCTTCTCCTGCGAACTCTGCAACATAGCTTGTGTTTGGTTTTCTCCCTGGGTTCAGCATATTGCCAGTTGTATTTTTCCTTAACACACTGCATTAGCTGATGAGTTGAAGCTGGTAACTTTGGCTCCATCTTGTTGGAAACCTAAGTAGTTTTCTTGTAAACTCCAGCATGGTGACATCAGTAGAGCAAGGGAAAGCTGTCTGCAAACTGTGTCTTCCTTGCGCTGGTCTGTGCAAGCTGCAGCCCACGCACTTCTGGAGATGGATGGGCTTCACAGTGCGTTCATCAGGGATCCTGCGAGCACTCACTGCTACAGTGGTGCCTTTTTTGCCTTACAGACCTTGACAAGGTCCCAGTTCCACAGTGGCTGCCTTCACTGCCACGTTGCATGTGGTGTGGCTAGCCCTCGTCCATGCAGCTGTAATGACTAAGGTCTGTTCTCGTGCTGACTTTGTTACCTGTACAGGCCTCCATGTCCGGCCTGCTGCAGTGGCTGCCTTGCTAACACTTGAAGACTTGTTGAAATTGTCAGCCTTTGCTGTTGCCCTAGTTAGAGAATGATCTAACTGGCCTATAGTAGCTGTAGCTCTTCTGGCCTTCCTTGCTGTAGACTGGAGTTGTTACAGAAGGCCAGAGGGAATGTGGGTCCCTTCCCCAGTGCTGGAGCTGGGCCTTTCATCACCCCAGAGAGAGGCAGCTTCTGCTCCAGGGAAGAGAAGGTCCTGCTGATACTCCGCTTATTGGGCAGGGTGTGAGGATTTGCTCAGGTGCTTGCTTCTCCTGCTGGAATATGGCACTTGGCTGTTCCCAGCTCTCTAGACCAGTGGTTCCCAACCTTTTTAGACCACAGACCAGCAGACTGGCATTCTGCAGATCAGCATACTGTGGACTCGGTATAAAAAAAGGTTGGCTGCCGGTCTGCACTATGCTGGTCGCTTCTGGACTTCCAGTCTGCCAGCCAACCCTCTTGCGGACCAGCAGCCAACTGTTTACAGCCCAGTACCTGGCCATGGCCCAGGGGTTGGAAACCTCTGCTCTAGACCTTTCACCAGTAACACTTGACCTGGAGACTGCCTCAAGTTGGTGAGAGAGAGAGAGAGAGAGAGAGAGGCTTAACCCTTTCCTTGCTGTGCTGGGATTCTGGCCCCCCACAGAGCTTCGAAAGGGGCTGCAGGAAGCAGAGTGAGCTTTATGACCTCACTTCTGCCCCACAATTTACAGTCTAGCCTGTAACTTCAGAGAAGCTTTTCTTTATGGGAAAGTGTATCATCCATCATGTGGCCCTAGGTAGGGCAGAGACATTTACAATGACTAACTTCACTTGCAGCTACTGGAATTCTTGGCCCTGTGTTGGAAACCAAGTTCCTGGGCATGAAGCCACGATGTGAAATGAACCATTCCCTTGCACAGGCAACCAGTTTCCAATGCTTTGGTGGGGGGTGCGGGTGCCTCCACAATCAGCCCAGTTCAAAACTTAGCCTAGCAGTGCCCTTGCTGAGGGCAGTGTGGGGCCCACAGAGCTCTGTGCCAGGTTGCCATAATTTGGGAGCACCTTCCTGGGGCCTATGGAGAAGCCAGGTTGTTCTGTAGACTGCAGGAAAGGATTTAGGGCTAGACCCAGTGACAGACCAGGGCATGGTAGCACTCTGCTCCTTTATGGCTGGTTTGGGAGGTAGCTCAGGATTCAGATCTCTGCCTGAGGTATGGGGTGGGAGAGTTGCAGCACAGAGGGAGCTGGACACTGCAGAGCAGGACCCCAGGCAGCCTGTGGCCTGAGGGAGGGGCCTGAAGTTGGCATGCATGAAAGTCCCACCCTTCAGCTCCCTCCCCTGAGCTGCAGGAAGGCAGCTCCATCTGCTCAGGGGTCTCAGCCTGGCACCCTCCCAAATACAGTTGTTAGCTTCCAGTCCCTGCTAGGGCAGAGGTGAGAGTTGGAGGCTTTTTGTTTAACCCAAGCTGCTATGAGACAACCCAGCCTTCTGCAGCATGGGTGGCAGGTGCCTAGGGGGCTGCTCAGGCTTGCAGATTAGCCGAGCTGCCTGTGTCACACTCGTGTCCCCCTGTAGAATCTGGCTGTAACCTGGCCAAGGTCCCCACCTTTCTCATCACTCCCCGGTGGTGTAGTCGGGCCCCTGAGCCTGGCCTGGCAGTGCGTGCTGATTGACCCTCCAGAGGGAACAAGGGCACCATGAGGAGCGGGAGGGCATGAAACAGAGGGCAGTGTTGCCCTGCTTTATGAGGTGACCGTGAGGCTCAGCACCCGGCTGCAGGCTTGGCACCTCCTGCGTTGCTGCCTTGCTGCCATCCCATTATTGACAGCACCATATACAGCCTCCCGCGCATACCCTCTGCTCCAAGCAACAGGTTGCCAACTCAGAAAACACGGCCGTGTCCCTGCTGGTGTCGCCTGAGGACAGCACCGTGACTGAACCAGCACCATGGCATAGATCTCTGCATCGTTGTTTGGAGCTTAAATACCATGGCAGCCGGTGCTGAGTGATGAGGTGGGTGAATCTGCTCTGCAAAGCAACAGGGAGGTGTGTGAGCTACCAGCAGGGTGGGCCAGGCACGCAGTGTTTCCCTGAGTGCCTTTGTTAGTGCAGGGGGACAGTTTACACAGCCTCACCAGCACTATGGGCAGGGCCCCTAGACAGCAAAACACCCCATTGGGGGCTACAACCCTCCTCCCGCCCCATTCTCCCCTCAGGCTCCAGGGCTGCGTGTGGGCGATCTGTATCAGTTGGGCCCTTGCTTCCGTTTGTTTATCCTTGTGCCTGGTGGCGAGGCACTGGCAAGGCTGACGCAGGAGGCAGTTTGGGGGGGAGCAGCACGCATTGACGTCGGTATCAGAAATCTGTAGCCCTTGGGCAGCTGTCCCCTGCTCGCTTCCATGCTGCTCAGCTCGTTGGCCTGGTAACAGTCACAGTCTTGCATTCTAGCTCTGAGCGGTGGGGGCAGGGCGGGATCAGCAGAAGAGCAGGACCTTACTGTGTCTCTCAGCAGCAGCCTGCGTGAATCTGTCAAGCTAGGCTCAGTTCACTCCCAACAGCACCTGCCCCCAATGCATGCCAGGCACCACCTGTCCAGCCAGCCCCACAAGCACACCTGACAGCAGCAAATCCCAGAGGGGGGGCGCACTTAGCGAAAAAGGGGGGGGGGGGGGGGCGCGCCAGGGGCGGACTTCTTCCTGTGACTGGCCTTTGCCCAGAACCAGAACCATGGGCTCAGCTCTTGCACATGATCAGTGTAATGGTAGACTTAGTTCCTGTGCTGTAATCACCTGACCACCTCAGATCCTGTCTCCTTTCTTAGGGCACTTACCTCCCCAGCTCCCTACAAACCTTTCCTTTCAGCCTGAAGTTTGCAGCTGTGATTTAAGTGATCATCCCCTTGTTTAGTTGGGGGGAGGGGGGTATAGATGCTCCTACTGATCCTTTCTGTCCCATTTACCTTTGCAGGAAACAAATGACAGGCAGGCTCGAGAAGCTAGGGGAGGTTAGAACTCACAGCTCTTAAATGATTTATTATGCCTCATTCATCTGGCCTTTGCAGTTCCTCTGGCCTCCTTATCTCATAGGGGTTAGGAAGCTTACCTACTGCCTACTTCAAATCTGTTGACAGAGTGAATGGCTGTACTGCTTATACCCCCAGGGCCACTTGAGAACCAGAAGTGTTGGCCATCCCTGCCTGACCTGTAGGCCAATTTCTTGCAGAGATAAGAGCGCTCAGCCAGGGGCAAGTACAGAGGCTGCCTTTGGGCCAGGCTCCCCAGGGGGGTGGGGATTAGTGGCTGCAGGAGCTGGGAGGGGGCTATCTTTACTTACAAAATAGAGAACCAAAAAATGGAAGTGTCGTTGGGAAAGAACGTGTTTATTAAAGGTTTCTGGAGGGTTTTTACAAACAATGGAGCGTTTAAAAAAAAATTAAGTGATCGAAGTACTTGACAGTGTCCCTTAAAACACACACAAGCCCCTGGACAGAGGAAATCACACCAGCGAGGAGGTCAATACTGCAGGAAGAGCAGCTGGCATCTGCATAGTTCTAGTAGGAAAGATTGCAATGCTGCTGATGCTAGTAAGTGTCATCCTGGCATTAATATAAGAGAATGCCAAAGTATGTACGCAAGTACCTGTAGAAAACAAAGTGCATCAAATAACACGCCAGGTGTGTATTGTAGAATCAATTTATTTACCCAAAACAATGAATTAGGTGTGATGCTTATTACTGTCAGCATTTCAATAGACACTTGATCTTATTTACAGCTTCTGGAGGTCGGTCACCCATGCAGTTGTGATAACTGGCCGAGTTGTTTGCTGCTTTAGATCAATGCATCACAATAGTTGTTTGTATTGCACCAACATCTGTCTACTGCTTTAGATTGAATTAAATAAGTTACATTACAGTGCAAAATAAGTTGGTTTGCACACACAAAAAAAAATAAAAAAAATTGGAAGTTATGACCCGGGGGTTTACAGTTTACACATTCAACATCTGTAGTCTTTTTTCAATGAATTTATAAATAGTATAGCATATTGTACAGAGCTGTTTATAAAGTAGTACGCTTAGATGATACAATACAGAAAGATTTGGCTACTTACAACTGAAGGCATGCATTAGTTTGATATTGTACATTGTATCAACTATGACATCTTACACAGAGAAATATGGAAACTTGGCTGACAGCTCCTCAACTTTTGGTTTAAGAACAAAAAAAAGTTCTCTTCCATGCAGCAAAGAACCCAAACTTCTCTGGAGAGTTTGATTCGCTGAGCTATATTGCACATTTGTACATCTGAAGCCCTAATGGTACCACACACTTCTTCCACAAAGTATACAATGAGTTTTGGTTGAGGGGAAGCAAAGGGGGGGGTTTCTTTTTTTACATGACACATGCAGCAGTTTTGGTAGATGTGTTGCTAAAAACACATGCACGCAACAAAACAACCTTACATGTCTGCAAAATTGTTTAGGAAGCGATTACTCCAGCATTGCTGAAAAGGAAAGAAAAGAGAAGAGTTAATGAGAGCATGAATGGTCTGTCATTATAAAAGCAAGACTCTGCCAGATCAATAGTGATAGAAGAAAGAAGGTTAAGTTTGATATCAGGCTGCTGATTTCATTGAAAGGACACGCTGTTAGGTTTCGTTTCTAACGCCAGTGTGAAAGCCAGTGTCAGAGCTCCCACCCATCTCCATGGGGCCAGGATTTCATCTCAGATATTACAAGGCAAAAGAATTTGAAAGCCGCCTTTTGGCATTTCAGTGTCCAGCCAAGCAGAGAGACCAATTTGGTTTCGTTTGCTAGATGAGTTTTCCTCCCAGGTATGCTGCACTACTGCAGGGCCTGGTCTTTGTTTGAAAAGCAAATGAAATACTACAGAAACTTCCTGGAAAGAATTTCAGTGGCTATTTTTTAAGCCTGTTTGCAAATTTAATTTGGTAAAAACTAAACCCTCAAATTTTGGCTCAAAGCAGACCTAACACATGTCCCTTTAATCATCCTGGTTATGCAGCCAGTTCTGGGAAGCAAGGTAGGAAAGAAGTCATGATACACCTGAGGCTTATGTGAGGCGTGAAGTACAACGTCATGAAGCTACTGTTGTACTTTACCCTGAAACACACCGTGGACTTTATCCCTGTCTTTGAAGGTAACACACGCTCTGCTTCCCTACAGTTGGACTGCTCTCCAAATACTGCCCTTCATAGCAGAGCCCATGATTTATAGGGTCCAAGAGTTCAGAGTATGCGTAATATTAATGTCATTAAGATATGTGATTAGCAGAGATTAGGGAAACAATTAATGGTTAGAAGTGCATAAAGGTAAAACGAGACAGGTGCAAGATCCATTTTACCTCCTTCCCTCCCATCTCTGCAGATTCCACCATCTCTCCTGTTTGAGCTGCTTGCCACTACATTCCACTTGGCAGCTGTTCTCAGAAGCAGCTAGCACTGCTGTACTGCATTTTATCATCACAGATGAAAAGCTTGTTTTCTTACCAATAGGTGTTTATGAAACAGCCTCCCCTCACACATTAGCCTTGTAACGCTGGGACAGAATGGAATTACAGCACCTTTCAGACTGTCTCCTGGAGGGCTATTCAGAGTAGATCAGCAGACACTATTTATAGTGCATTTGCGTAGGCAAAAAGGAGAATCCATTTACATATATTTCAAGCAGTTCTTTGACTCTCAGATTCTCTGTCAAGAGGAACCAGTGGCTTGGGACCCCCTGAAGGAGGTAGAGAAGCCCCAACTAGATGTCTGACATCTGCACAGGGACAGATGCCCCCCCAGCTAATGGCACAAGGTAGGATTTGCCAGGCATGAGTATGCTCTCCTAGAAGGAGCTGCTGTCAATGTGAAAGCATCAACTGATGGCTGGCTTCCAGCAGAAGCTCTAGACAGATGCATCTCATCTAGCCGTGTCTCAGCCTGGCCTGACAAACCCCTTGTGCTTCTCACCTGCCAGGGATCACGAGGAAAAAGCTGCCACGGGAATGCATTAAGAAACCCAGAGCGGAGAAGCAGACAATAGAAAGCTCACTGAAGGGTGAAAGAAAAAGAAACCAGAACTGAAAGGCATAGAACTGTTTGAAGAACCAGTGGTGTTGAATAGGGCAGGGGGATGCGCAAGCCTCATAGCAGACATGCTGTGTCCACAGGGTCACATGAGATGTCCACATGGTCATTAGGCTAACTGGATCCCTTGCAAGTGAACTCTTCAGAGGCATGACATATTTCCTCTCTGCTGCCTGGATCACAGCTACTAAGCTCCAATAATACAGAATGCAAACATCTTCTACAGGGAGACACTCCCTCCCCCCCCAAAAAAATCTGTATATGGAGATGAGCCTGGTGCTGCTGTCCTTTGGGGCAGTCAGACATGAGGCTAGGAATGGAAGAGGGGTTTCTTCTACTAATACAAGCTTTGGCAATAAATTTTGCTTTTAACTTGAGACTAACTGCTGCATTGTGCCTAGAGGACCTGTCAACTGTCTGTCAGCTAGGGACAAAAAAATTCACAACTTATGCCAGTTGGAGAGGAACAGTTTGGTTACCCAAGCTCTCTCAGTTCCCTGATGCCAAGTGGAGGGAGCCGTTTCGGTGACATTGCCCTACTCTGTTAAGTGTCTGAGAGCTGTCCCGCCTTAGTCCAGTGAAAGGCTGCTCAAGAGTCCATGTCTTCAACCCCAAGACCCAGCCACTGTGCAGCACATGTACAACAGACAGCAGCTTTCTAGGCACCTGCTCAAACTGCCTCAATTGAGAGAAAAGTGAAATACACCCTGGAGAGGATCAATTCCATTCCTGTGGCAACATCTTTTAGCATAGGAAGGGGTAAAGGTTTGCTGTACTTTGTACAGACTCATTCCTTGAGGCACTTGCAGACACTCCCATCTATTCCAAAGGCAGCTGCTGTACCCCCAGTTGCTGAGCACGTGCAATTCAGGCAGGCAGTGCTCCAGATTTAGATAATGCCTTTAAAGCAATGCAATTGCCCAGATGGCCCCAGGCACTCTGGATCTCCTAGGCTCCTCTCCAACAGCCCAGGTCTACCTCTCCATGCAGCAGCAGGGTTGCATGCTGCTTCTGCAATTACAGCCAGGGCACTGGAGTGCACTTCTAATATGGTGCACAACTTAGCTTGAGACAGAAACTTTAAAGAAACCTCCCCACACACACTGTGACCACACAAATCCTTTCCAGGCATTTGTGGAGCCCAAACTGCCTAGTGCTCAAATTACTAAGCATTTGCTGTGAACACCTAGGTCTAGGATGCAGAGTTGGGACATGAAACTAAGCCCAGCTGACGTTTAAGTGGCTGCTGACAAGTTGCTAGACTGTCAGTACAAGCTTGTAAAAACAAGGGGCACGTGCTCTCCAGTGTAGGTGGAAAAGAAACTGCAACCAGCAAGAGCTTATGTAGCAGCTTTCCCGGAAGTTACCCTTGTAACCAAAAGCCTTTGGCTTCCATTGCAACCCCAGAGTCTGCCTGCACCCCATACTCCAGGACTGGGGGGCTCCATTTCGAGGTGGCAGTGCCCTCAGCTGCCTGTGAACACAGAGCCCTTTGTCCAGTGTTCCCAGAACCCAATGCCATGTGACTGCATTGCAGCAAATTGATTTGATCAAATCTAGTCGTAGTCCACAGAGTACAAGAGAGGCTTGCATGACATGATGCTGTCAGTGCCCAGTGCAGAGAGCATGCCCTGCTGCAGACACTGCTCTCGTATTCTGAGGAACGAGAGCAAGTCGCTTATTCTTGGGATGGACATTCTTCTCAGTACAGAGGTCCTTCTCCAGCCACCAAATACACTAGTCAACACAGAACTCAAATGCTTGGTGACAAGGACCCGACTCAACGCCTTAAACAAGCCACTTCATGCTTACTAAAAGCACCCCTCTGCTAAAATGCACAGTGCTGAGGGGCAGCAGACAAACAAAACAGCTCCCTAAAGAACAGCTCTAACAGCTGGGGGAACAGATCTTCTGCAGCTGAAGCTAGGCAAGCCTGAAACCCTTGAGTTTATCCTCTGTGCCGGCCAGGATCCAGCTTATTGTTTCCTGTACCTGTCCCCTTCAACAGAAGTTAAAAAAAGTAGCATGACCCAGCTGCTTTTAAGAGCAGTCTCAAAGGCAGTGCAGACTATCAAAGCACTGCCAGCCAGCTTCCAAAGACACCACGACCCCAGCGCTAGCCTGGCGGGGTTTAAGAGGATTGGGGGTTTCTTCATCTTTTCACACTACCACCATGTGGAGAGGGCATTTCCACTGACTGGGAACAAACAGTTGCTCGAGCAGAGGAGCACCTGCACTGCAAACACTAACACCTGGGAAGGGTAAAGGAGGCGACACCCTGTCCACAAGAGGCATTCCACATTTCCTACTGGGTGAATGCTTCAGAACCGAGTGACCCCTGCTCAGCAGTACAAGCACGTTTCACACAAATTCCCATCCAGTCCCAAGCAGCGAACCAGTGTAAACAGGGAGGTCCTCAAAAAACAAAGATCTGATAGATTTTCCCAATTTTACCACAGACTGAACAACTGCAGCATCCTGCAGCACCGAGACTGCCAGTCCCCCCAGATCTGTGGTACAAAGCACCGTTACGGTTCTGAACGTAAAGTGTTTGCTTCAACCGGAGCCTCACACTAGAATGAGTAACGTGGTGATAATAATGTAGCACAGCAGAGTTTGACAAAACGCAGCATGGAATGAAGGAAATTACTATTTATTCTTGACATGTAGGTGTACAGCATATGCCATTTTACAGCAAGTTATCACTGGGATGGTGAAATGGAAGAGAAATACTCACTTTAGTCGAAGGATGTTGGAAGGCATTGGAGAAAAACACCACAGTTAGGACTGTTAATGACTTACACATTGTTGATACAGGACTGATTTTGAAAAACATGCTCTAACACTTATCGCAATAATGAATGTGGTTAGTGCCACATGAAAATAAAAATAGTTCTATACAATATGTTCAATTTGGTCATGTGCTATTTACAGATTTTACAAAAACCACACACGAGCTTGTTACTTGTTTAAGTCAGGCTATAGCAGGCCAGCAGAGGAACTCTCAAAATATTTAGCTGATTTTTAGTGCCCTCATAAAAGTGTAAGAAATCCAATTTCAAACTATGCAGTGCAAGTTATTTTTCCAGGCCCCATTACAAAAAGCTTTGATTTTAAAAGACCGAACCGAAGTCTGACACACATAAGTAAGGTATTAAAATGGAGCTCAAACCATCTTCTACAGTTAAAATGAGACAGAGTTCTCTCTCTTCATCCATTTCAAAGTTTTTGTCTTTAAGCTAGACTGAAGTAGTTCTTTCCTGTCCTCCCCCCGCTTTCCCTCCACAAGTGGGCAACACTGGTTAAACAAGGTGGGTTAGAATAAAAATACATTAGACATTTAAATAAATAACCTTAAAAAAAGCTACGTGTGTTGAGAGGATGAAAGAACCCAGCAGGCTGCACCTGGAATGATGTTTTCTGCACAAGCAAAAATAGGCTTACCTCTTACAGAGACTGGTGTAAACAAGACTGTCGGGAATCTAAAAGGTGGGTGCAGGAGGGGGGCAAACCAAAAATACTGAGGTAGCAGTACTCTCTGCCCAGTGCAGAAAAACCGTCTTATGAATTAAAAAAAAGAGAGACTGACCATATGACAAATTAGGTTCAGATGACCATGCAGAAGACAGACAGTTACATGCTTTTTTAGTTTTAGACAACACACATTCATTCCCTAAAATCTGCTGCCAATTTCATTTGATAGTGTCCGCTGGCTCAAAAGAATTTTTTTTTTTTTACAAGGATGAATCGACTATTCAACAGAACACTGTACATGCTTTTCATCTACAAAAAAATATTTGCATAAAATAGTGTTAGTTCTCTGTACATGTCAATGGACACTTTAATTGTGTATAAAAGAGGAATATATTGCCCCCACTGGAGTCAGAAAAAGCAAAAAACAAAATCTAGAGTATGAAACCTCCATCACCGGCAAGTATGTTCATGTGAATATTCAGCAGAAATAGACAGTTGCTCTAAACAATAAAAAAATTGATTAAGTTAAACATCTTTATGTAAAACGGTCACTATGTCAGTCAAGACCAGAACATGTCACTAAAGTTAGTGTCTGTACTGTAAAGCCAGATAACCAAGGGCATGGTAATGAGCACAAACGGCCAGGAAATCCCTTCGGTGCATGCTGATAAAGAGCACGGCTTGGTGGCAGGCTGCACAATATCTTTACCAGATTCCAGGTAGTTACGCGCCGCAAACTTAAGTGTCTCATCCAGCAGAATGACGGGGAGTGAGAATTTCAACACCATCAGCCACTGTGTCACATTCAGAGGCGTGATCTGGAAGATAATCTGTGGAAGAGGACCCCAACGTTAGAGTCTCCTACAAGAGGAGGAGTTTTAAACAAGCATTGAAAAAAAAAAAAAAATCTTTACTGCAAGTAACTTATTTTTGGCACTGTTCTCCTTAAGCGCATTAGTGGGCACAAGTGACGTGAACTTACTGGCAGTGGTTCCACATAAAGGATAAGGAAGTGAAGTGACATGGACAAGCAAATGGCACCCATCAGCCAGACATTCTCCCATGGAGGCATCCTCATTAAGGACTGGTTTTCTGATAGACTGCAATACAAACATGGGACAAATCCAGCATTACAACAGGCCAGTCAACACACCAGGAAACAAAAGGCAGTTCAGCAGTTCCCAGTGTCCTGGTCACACACGAAGGAAGACAAGATGCAAAGGATGTGCTTCAAGTGAGGTCGCAACTTATTCAGCTAAATGGGACCACTACCTAGCAATTCAGTCACAGCAGGGTTTGGGACACCATGTCCTTGACTGTTCAAGCCAGGCACATGCTGGAAGTGGGTTCTCTCCTCAGTTTCAGAAGTAAGGAACCAGGACTGATCTGGTACCAATCTGAACCTCCCTTCCTCACCTACCCAGCTGGTTCCCTGATCTGCTCTGGAGGAGAAGCTGAAAAACCTACCCCACTTCAGCCAATCTGGCAGTGCAAAGAAATTCTTGCCCTGCCCCGGATAAAATACAGGAACAAGCAGAACACCCACACTGCAGCACAAAACCTTTCCCTACTCTGATCCCACTCGTGGCAGGGTGGGGAGGGGAGCTCCTGCCCCAGAAAGAACTCATAGGACTAGAAGGGACAGGGCAGAATAGTGAATTTGATTCTTACAGGTTACCCGTACTTTGTAACCCCCTACTGTAGACTGAAGGAAGCTGATCTGTGCTGGCTGCAAAGAGCCAAGAGGCTCAATTCAAGCTGCATTTTAATATTATCCACTTGAATTGGACTATAGTGCGTACAAGGTTGCATTTAGGCTTACTCTAATATCCTGCACTATATAACGTTGTAACACAGTCAGTCAGCCTCCTCCTAGGCTGAACCTGCACAGCAGATTTGAATAGGGCACCTTCTGGCTAAGCCAGAGGGGAGTTTTGTGCTGGAGGACCGAGTTCAGAGAGGGCCAGGTTCTGCACCTCACCTTAACTTTCAAGTCTATTTCTCTGCCTTCCAAAGTACATTTCTTCAAATACCCTTGGCTTACTGTGCTAGTTAGCGGTTTCCATTTATAATGCATTGTATTAATTGGCTGAGGCCATACTCCCTTAGGGCAGGAAGAACTATTTTTCATATACTTAAACTGCCTTATTTTAGGTCTCCTTGGTATCACTTCATAGCAGCAGTGCGGGGACTCGTCTGATTGATGAGGCTTGAATTAGAAGTGGAAAACATCCATGCAGTTAATGCCTCACAGTCAAATACCAAGATGCCAAGAGTGAACTTGAGGGTTTAAAATTACACCTCTGCGTTTATGGAAGGTCTTCAACATGACCCAGGAAAGCTGCTCCTAAAGGATGCCTGCACTGTGCAAATTCATGAAAGCATCATAGCACTGTTACCCATTACTTGAGTGTCCACACGTTACAATGGACACAGGGTGCACAGCAAGTCATGGCCTCAGGCAAGAAGTTCTCAGCGAAGCTTAACTTTCCACCTTAGAGATACTAACCTGTTGAGAGCATTGCACATCTCTATGGTGACCAGAACAGAAAGAGCCATTGTCATGGGGTATGGAGACTCAAAGACCACGCAGTCTACACCCGAGAAGTCTGGGTTGTCCTCTTTACACTGTAGGAAGTGGCTCTACAAGAGAACAAAGCAAGCACTCGGTTCAATCATGGTGATCCAATTTTAAAAGTTAAGCTCAGGATGCAATGCAGGATTTCTTGCACAGGCTAATAAGAGACTGTACTCAGTGTTGGGAGGAACTACTTTCTCCATGTCAAGATAGTTCTTATTAATTTATTGCACATAACAGTCCTTCAGTGCTGGTGGTCCTTCCAAAAACAGGTCAGCAGCTTACGTATTTGACCTCTCAGCTTTTAGTGAGCATTAACTGAATATGCACAATCGTATCACATAGTCAGTCAGAAATGTTCCTTTAAAAGTAGAGCACACAGTGGAACACCACCATGTCATTAGAGAGAGAGAGACTACAGTTCTGCAAGCTTCTTAAAAAGTAAAATGTAACTGAGCAATACCAGCTGGTAGAAGGTAACTCTTGGGCCACCATCAGCAGCGATGAACCACCAGGCAGCAGCACCCACTGTAGCAGCTCCAACGTAACCTTGAGGAGGGAAAAACGCGGTTGTCTATATTACAATGCGAGAGACAAGGCCTCACGCACCTCCCTTGAGCGTCCCCCTCCACCACCACTTGAGCACACTGTAACGTGCCATGCAACTGTGTTCGTTTCCTTCAAGAAAGTGGCTCGGAAATGTTAGCTGGACAGATTCCCGTTGGGATGACCTGACACCTGTAAGGAGCAGTCTTTCGTCTGTTCACACAAGCTGCCTATTGCAGTTAAGACACATGAGGAATTCAAGTGGTTAGAGCTCTGCAAATCATCCTGCAGTCCTACAGGCACAGCTGTGCCTGTTACCTACGAGAATAGAGCAAAGCAACAAGAATGGTGTGAACGGAGGAGGTGTGCTTAACTTGTGGTGACTACTGCAGACAAGTGATGCCAAAAGAAAGCACGAATCTTGGACTTCAGGGGCTAGAAGGAGCACACTGGTTCAGCCGTACACTCAGGGACACACTCAGGGACCCCAGTCCAGAACCATAGCAGCAAACACACTACCAGACCTGCGACTTCCAAACAGCTTTCCGGAAGACGTTCTATATGGACATTTTTAAATTTAAAAATAAAAGTCAGTATTACTCACATCCAATAGCCAGGTAACGGAAGAAGAGCCACCCACTGATCAGCGGCTCTTTAGGGTTGCGGGGTGGCTTATTCATAATGTCTAGATCAGGAGGGTTAAAGCCCAGAGCTGTGGCAGGGAGACCATCTGTTACAAGGTTTACCCACAACAGTTGGACAGGAATTAAAGCTTCGGGAAAACCCAGAGCAGCAGTCAAGAAGATACTAGAAGAACACACACAAATACAAGGTTACTCACGGGTATGTTAGATCAAAATAATTTTACAACAAACTCAAGTGGTAGATTCACAATTAACACAATTTTGGAGACAGCCTTTTACATGTAGCCGCCACGTCTAATAAATCTGCTCTGTTCAGTTACCAGCACGCCAGAGCAAAACATTCAGATGAAGTCACTTCCTCGGCTTACCAAACAACTTCGCCAACATTGGAGGAGATCAGGTAACGGATGAACTGTTTCATGTTGTTGTAGATTGCCCGCCCTTCCTCCACTGCAGCTACTATGGTTGAGAAGTTGTCATCAGCTAACACCATCTCAGAAGCCGTTTTAGCCACTGCAGTACCTGACCCCATAGCAATCCCAATTTCTGCCTTCTTCAGGGCAGGAGCATCATTGACGCCATCCCCAGTCTAAAACACAGAGTGCAAACAGAACAGTACATGTGGGCACTTGCATATCTTTGGAGGATCTAATGGCAATTTAGTGGGTAGGGAGATGCAGATGGGTGATGGTGCTTTCAAGCAGTGGTTCTCGGCCTTTTTAGCCTAGAGGCGCCCTCCATGGAGCGGCACCCCGTTAAAAATCTGCTGTACTTGTAGAGAGGTCGGGAAGGAGGAGAAGCTAGCAGGGAAGAGCCTGCACTTACTCTCCTCACCAGTCTGCCCTTATCCTGCTCATCTCCTCTGTCCCTTCAAAGGCTGTCAGGACACCCCAGGCTGCTGTGGCACCTTGGCCAAGAATCACTGCTTTAAGATAAATAAAGGATAGCGAGCTTAAACCCAAGTGGAGGAATGCGAAGAGGGGAACGACAGGATTGGAGAGCCGGGTAAGACAGGGGACCTTTGCAGCTATGGAACCAAGGAAGTGCTTCCAAAGCTGCTATTTTGGCTACATCGGGAATCAAGAGGTGCACTACAGGAGGCACAATCGACTTAGCTGACTGCCCACTGCTCGAGTGCCAGTAATTCGGTTAAAAAAGAATCCGTTTCTCCTTGCCTAACACACCAGTCTCAGGTCAGCTCTGAGGCTGCACACCAGCACAGAACGCCTGCTGGGCTGAACAAAAAAAATGCCTGTTTCAAGAGACAGCAGCACCTTTGTTGTACAGGCTGGGGGGGG